CAACAAGCGGTCCCTCGCAGATATCTCCACCAAACTGAGGTGCCGGTCCATCACACAGTCGGGACCTTGTTTGATACCCTTTGTCACAGGTCGCGCTGCACCCGCTCCAGGCCGCCCACCGTCCCCAATGACCGTTTAAGGGGACTGGAATCAAACATAGATTCATATCGTATGGTTAAATACTACAGTTTGATTGGGTTAGCCACTGTGATATATGGCTCATTATTCAACTCTACACCGACAGTCTCCTGGCGTGCAGTGGTGTTATTTTTTTCTTGCAGATTTCTTCGGCAAAATGTCGTCTCTAATTTTTCGTTCCGCTACATTTATCAGTCTTTCACTGTATCAGGTCAATACAAAGGATGTATTTTACAGGATACGATACGTACGCGTATACCAAATCATAGTTTTGCGAAAAAAAAAGTTATTTCTTTACAAAACGCCTTTTTCTTCTTCTAAAATAAAGATGTTTAAAAATGAGTCTTAAAGATAGAGAGAAATTTATATCATCCTACCATTACACTCTTCAGAATCACAACGTTTGGTATCAGTCTGTATTCCGTCTTTATCTACCCCTGGGCATTTTTTCCTGTCTTTTGCCGCACAGAACCTTTCACGCACCATTGTGCAATGTATGTCACAGGGACCCCACTCTGTCCATCTACTCCACTGACCACTGGGAGCTGTTTGAAAATTGTCAAATAATTCAGTTAAAGCATAGGTGTGAAATATTTAAAGGGGTTTCATACCCTCGAGAAATGTTCATTTCGACTCGTGAAGACAACATTCTAGGTGTGGCTGACTTCCCTAATTTCCTTTATAATCGATGTCCATCAAACCATAGTGACAACGTTTTTGATATGATCCGGCATTTGCAACCCCTTAAAGAAACTTTGGAAAATTGAAAGATGTGAAAGTTTCAGATTTTCAAAGTTAGACAAAATCTGTGGTTTTCATGTCTGTCAGATTCGAAGAGAATCTTCGGTAATCATTATAAATGCCAGAGGTGTAACTCACCTGTGTGTGTGACACCAATAACCCTAAAATGTCACGTTAAAAATTATGACACAAGAAAAGAGAGGAACGACAGATAGAACGAAAAAAGGGAAGTAGCGATATTAAGTTATGATGGTTTCTAAGAAACTCAACTCTTACTTTTGCAGTCATAGATGGCGTTTATTTGTAGAATGTCGGTCTGGCTGAGCTTTAGTGTTTGCCCGAACAGCAAGTTGGGATTTTTCAGTGCAACCATGGTCATCTTTTTGTTTTTGGAGTACAGATAGTTTCCATAATGCATAATACTATCAAAGTCATACATTCCACCAGCAAAATCTACTTCATTTACGGAATGTTCGTTGAAATTTCTCTCTTGACCTGTGGGAAAGGACATGGTAAACAAAAGGTTTCTTAATAATTGATATGGAAATACCAATACCTGTGATATCATTATCTTGATTAAACATACCGTATTTTCTCGGATAAGCACCCGGGCGCTTATTTAAATCCCGACGTTTATTTATCAAAAAGAATCCATGTTGCCGTCAGTTCACGATCAGTAGTAGTTACAGATGGCGTTAAAATGTGGGAAAAACACAAAAGTGTCACACGAGGCGAGAACCAGTTCACAACGAAAGGAAAACAGGATACTGAATTAAGTAGATCTGGCTGGTTAGTTCAATCTTTTCTCTCACCTTTTTGAATATTTTCCCATAGCACTGCTATATATTTGTCCCGATCCGTGCGGGATTGCTCGTGCCAGAATCCGAGGGCATGCATGAGCTCATGGAGTATGATTCCCTTACTGTTACACCCATCTCCAATGGAAAGCTCTTGTGCACCAGGCACACTATACTCTCGGCCGACAACGGAATAACATCTAAAGAGACAACACAAAATGATTTTTAGTAAAAGCGATAATTCTCTTTTTCTTTTTTTCATATGGTCGATCTGAGTCTTGAACGCTAATTATGGGTAAAAGTTAAAGTCTGCATGAGAGGTAAGAGGCCAATCCAGCCCAACATATCCCCGGATGGTGTCCGCAGCATGAGGAGAGGGGGGTTACTGCTGCTAGCCCGGGATGAGATGCTAGTCTACTGCAGGTTGCCTCTAACATTTTTCAAAGTCACCCTGTCATATCGCTTTTCCTATACTCCTCGGTTGGAGAGACGCACCGCTAGAATAAATGTCTTTCCCAACGAAAGAACAAAATTACCCGCCCAGAAATCGACCCCGACCTTTTAATCCAGAGCCAACCGCGAATACGTCTAACAAAGGTAAATCTTGTCATAAATGCCGGAATACAAATCCATCGTAACTGCCTCTTGTTCTCTCCCTAACTTTACTATAACTTAACCGAGTTACTCCGTTAGGAGACTGGATCCCCCATACAAAGCTTGTTTTAAGGATAATCCCTCTCAACTCATTTGAAGATTCAAGAATGGTCATCTGAGGTCTCCTGCAAATCCTGGGGATTCCGGGGATTTTGATGGGTAACATTTCTCGAATTGTATTTATACTCCTAGAGTGAGACACCTCTGAGTTTTGTTTCCTCCGTCACTAAAATCCACTTTTCTCTCACCCGTTCTTCTTGACCATCCTTATCCAGTGTTTATCTCCTTCCTTCTTATCTTTGAAGCGCACGCAAGACACATCTTGTATGGCTTTCATGGCAGCTCGAATATTATATAGTGCATCACCTGATTCAAAGGAGATAATGATGTACTTTTACAGAACTGTTAAAAAAACTGAATCTATGTCAGTATCTGAACGATTACGCACCTACCCCTCCCTTAACCCGACAACAGTCAACTGATAACAAATTAGGGTTAACGTTGGGGAGGAGTGGGTGCGCAGTTGCTCATATACTGACATTGAACAGAAACCTAATCATTACCGGTACCAAAATGTACGAATCTGATTGGTTGTAGACGGCACTTTTTTTCGGTCATAAACTGATATTAACATCTTAAACGTCACTCACCCAAAGCAACTGTGGCCGTCACTGGAATGATCCTAGACGGCCAGATCTTTCTACGCGTGCGCACACCTTTCCTTTTTTCTGCATTTTCCTCGATATTTTCGACTTTAACCTGGGCGCCCTTAGCATCTCCTGTTTCACTAGTATCTACCAGGTCGAAGTCACTTTTAGTGAGTTTGATGTCGGTTTCGAAGAGATTCTTGTTTTCTTCTGCCAAAGAAGAAACACAAAATGCAAAATGTGAGGTTAATGATTGGCTGTGTGCTTCTTAAAAGGTTTCTTAGTTGCATGACAGGGCAATATTCAATGAAAAGTGGATAGCAATCCTGGTGCCATCAGCTTTGCTTCAATGCACTCACTAAAAAACTCCTGTAAAACTCCCGCGACTCTCTCGACCAATCAGATGCAAAATCACAACAAATTGCATACGCTACTCGCCGGCGTTTTCCCGCGTGTCAGGCAGTTTAGTTACGGGTTCCTTGTGTGATTTTTCTCTGTCATGATTGGCTGTTGGGATTATTTTGGTTTTGGATTGGTGATACTGAGTTGATCTACGCTCTACTGAAATGGATGAGAGATCGTGATGCAGTTACTAACCATTTTAAACATAAGTACCGTACCTTCATTAATCTCCTCGATTTCGTTTACCACGGAGGAATCTGTCAGATTCTGTGGAACCGTTTTGTCCGTTCCATCAAAAACAAGGTGGTGGCGTCTAGGTTTACCTGTCGTTCGAAGGGGGCAAGATTCAGTCATGATTGCATGTCAAATATGATGATATGAAATTCTGAAGCAATGCTTGTGTCATTTATTGAAAAGAAATAACCCACCATGCAGAGGATGCGAGACACAAAAAGCAATCCCGAAGAAAAATGTTGCCAGCAACATTTTGGTTAGCTAATCAACGGGAGTAAAATTGGATGTATCTTTTAAAACGCAAACTGATGTCAGGAGTGGTTCTTCTGCTTCAAATCATGTTTTTTTCACAATCGACCTCTTGCTATCTTGTTGCCTACATTTGGGGAGAGTTTCTGCCGATCAACAGTGCAAAACGGTGTTAGATGCGTTAATAACCATGTCCACACTGGAGGGAAAAAAATCATGAAGATGATTAGTTGTAACAGATGTACAGCAGGAGAATGAGAGGTCATCAAACAGTCATTTTCGTTAAAGTAGCATCAGTGGAAGAATAATTACAGAATTGTGAGGAGCAAAGCTGATGAAAAAAAGGGAAAAGAGAAGAGAAACAGCACTCAAAGAGAGAAATAGATAAAAGGCCATTTAGTTATTGTATACTGATTTATATTTACTAAACATGCCCTTAGTATTGTCATGTGTCAAGTTATCATTTATTCAAGCATTGTTCATTGCTCGATCATCACATGGTTCTTGGCGATGATAACACTTTTCTGGCTCCTTCAACAAAATACTTGAACATTGCAAAGGAACTGAAAGATCCTAAACATCATTCTATCATTGATAAAGTGGTAATATGTTGTTGATAAGAATATTATCAGGATGTGAATGAAGTGTTTATTTTTTTGTCAACATGCCGGCGATATTTTTCACACTTTGGGCGAAAGCAAAGTAACCAGAACTTATTCACGAAATGAATAAATTCAAATGGTATCAAAACTCCACCTACCTTTGAAATCAGAGAAGAAATTCCGTAGGTTAATTTTTTTTTTTTGCTATCGGATGACGCTTGAAGTAATTCACAAATTAGTAAAAAGATTTTCTTGAATCGCGCTACTAGAGTATATTTGTTTCGTAACAGGTGCCTGCGGGTGCTTTCTGTTATTCAATTATATATCACAACTTGGAAGTCTTTTTTTAGCTGATAGGAAACAATGGACACCTTTCAGTTCACGATAATTAGTCAAAGCATTTAAAGAAAATTTTCCCAAAACGCCAATGT